CATTCGCTTATCTGGAGACGACAGTAGGGGTATCTAGAGAAGGTCTGGAAAAAACGGCAAATGGGAGATCAAGCGCCAAGCTTAAAGTTAATAAATGAGCTTATCGAATACAAATTAAACATTACAGTTTGGGCGTCGACTCCAGCAATATCCACCGTGTGCTACACAGCTTGGTGGTGTAGGCACGCTGACTTACGCATTGATTAGCTTTAAATGATACTAAACTTGTGTTGTATCTACCACACTGTCTCTCCCTCTCTTGCCTCTGTACCCGGTGTCAAGAGGGATAGGGCGCAGATGAAAGGAGTGGACCAGAGTCGCTAACACGCCTGACCCAGAAACCACGCAGTGGGAGTGTCTTATTGGCCACGAATTGCCGGTTCCTGAAACTGCACTTACGCTCGCCACCAACGCCCCCACCCCCCACGTTCGGCATTTGTTGTGGGAGCGCAAACGAATAAGGCCTATCGTACCCTGTCCAACCCATCTACCACGCGGCACCTTTAGGAGGCACAACAAAACAGACAGACATACAGACAGGTAGACAACTGGCTAACGGTCGCTGTCTGTTGTTATTGTCGCACTTCTTAGTCGCTGCCCCTGGGACTTTTTATCTCGCCGATTTGGTATCTGGTGTCGGAACCCTACGACTATGGATCAGTGCAGTTGATCGCCCCCCGGTGAGTTGAGGTAGCACCAGACACAGTGAGAGACATTCATTACCGATTGGAAACAAAGTCATAGGACTTGCCAGCAGGCGATCGTGTGGTGCAGAGAAACCGAAGGCAAGCAACTATCAGGGACTGACTGGCGGCCGTTTTTGGAGTACTTACTATTCTCGTCGGCCTTTTATACAGGCATTAGACCAGCAACTGTATTTGTACAGCAAACTGGTAGGCATGAAGAAACAAGTGGATAGGCGACGTCAAACTGAAGTTTCCCCAGCGCATCCTTTTTCCCATAATCAGTTAGTGGCTTTGAATAAAAGGATTGAGACAGTATTGGAAGCATTTGGCTACTTTTCTGGGCTTTCGAATACGTAGAGAAGGGCAAATTTAACTGGGGTATAGGAACCGGTTCAGGAGGAAAAGATGCGATTGCGGGAACGAGAAGTTTATTGGCCTTGCGTTTCGGATTCTCACTCGAGTCCATCATCAGAGACAAGTGCTGTGATGGAGGCACACTGTGCGCTGTATTTATGGTCCGTAGTGGCCACGCGACGATGAATTCAAATGATAAACCAAAACGCCAGGCCAATAAACATTTTGTTCCAGCAGTCGCACCGAACGTGAGGAATTGCAATATCCAAACTGAGAGCAACAGTAGTTTTCTCTTCGATTGCGAGGATGTTCACCGTATTCTCCAAGCAACTTGGTGCAAAGACGGCGAATTTCGTGTGGGTTAGTTTAAAATAATAGTAAATTTGTGCAGGAGCTACTCACTCTCCTTCCTCCCCAGGTGTGTCCGATGTCAACATGGAGTCAAGAAAACCGGAGTTGGGATCAGACGAACGTGGCAGGACGAAACCGTCCCTATGCGTGCAACCACGCCTCTGCCCCCAATCTT